TTCTCCCTCCACCTGGGGGCTAACATCTCGTATCAAAACCTAAAACTATAAATCAATTGGGGGCTTTAGATTGTTACTCTATTGCAAAGTTTATTTTCCTATTGCAAAGTTTATTTTCCTATTTATTTGCACTCAATCATATGAATTACGTCATTCATACAATCTCATGTGATTCTTACGATTTATTGACTGAGATAATACCATCTCAGATCTTACATGTTCTCACAATAAATATTAACATCTTAATTGGCCAAATCAAGAAGTAAATGAAGGTGTAAGGTTTAAAATCATCATAACTTATTCCAACATTAAAGATTAATACTTCACACAACTTCCATCCAATACTTAATCATTTATCATTTTAAGAAAAAAGATAAAGAAAATTACTCAGAATTCATGAAGAAAAAACCACCATACTTAAGTTTGAATGTAAAAATCACGCAAACAAACAAGAAGTCTAAATTAAAATTAAATGTAGTCACAAAGATAAAAACTTATCTCAAATCCCCTCCACCAAACTCTTGAAATTCCTTTGAATCTCATTCCTTTGAATCTCTTCTTCTCTTTCTTTCTCTTACAATACTCTCTACTCACACACTACAACTCCTCTCTTCTTCTTCTTCTTTCTAAAAGTATTTTAATTAATCTAAGATAGAGAGGCGCCGATGGTGTCTAGAGTAGGGTGGCGGCTCCTCTTTAGTTCAATCCAAGTCCTTTTATAATTTTTCAAATGGTGTCTTGGTTTATCTTGAAAATGTGTCTACATTCAATGAATTTTCCTAAGAGTCACCTCCTTTCAAAAACCAATTGAATGTATATTCGTGTCCGTTAACTATTTCTCACGTTTTCACCAAGGGTTGCTTCAAACACCTCTTCAAAAATTTGTCCAAATTCATTAAATCATTAAGTAACTACTTCTGACGCTTAAGAGCGGTGCGACATTCTTGGTTTTACTGGCACATAAGCGTCAATTCTAGGTGCTTAGGCACCACAATTCTTTTGCACACATTCTTTATTTTTGCTCCAAATTTGATCATTTTCACTTCTTTCACCATTTTTCACCCATTTGATTGTACCTGAAAGAAAAACACACAAATATCTTCAATTAAAGCGCAATATCTCAAAAATAGGTATAAAAATGTGTACATAAAAAACTATGTTTTTTAGGTGTATCAGTACCCTATCCATATTTTAGTCCCATATATGTAAATGAAAATTAACTAAATTAATAAGCTATATACATTATTGGACGAGTGGCCTTATTGTATAGTGGCTTGTAAATAATTAAATATATTTTTTGTTAATTGAGCTTAAATTTGATTCGACTATTTAAATAGTTAAATAAGCTCAACATGAGTTAATTTAAACAAATAAGTTTAAATCGAGCCGAATAAAAATAAACTATTTCAAAAATGAGTCCAACACGGACAACAACAAATTTGAGCTAGTACTAATCTTGGGATCGCTCAAATTTGGCTCATCTACAACCCTACTCACAATCATCAAATGATATATTAAGAAAAAAGAGGTTTTCTTAGATGGAAATTCATATATAGTATGATTTTTATTTATTTTGATATGATTTAAAGGTTGAAATGCAATGTAAATAACTATAAAAATTAAATAATAAATTTATAACATAAAATAATCAAATAATGTCTAAATCTCTCTTAATTTACTTAGTCACCAATAAAAAATATAGATTAGGAAGAACGTAAAGAGAGAAGCAATATCTCAACTTGAAAGCCTTCAGATTGATTGGGCTTCAATTATAATATGTTGTTGATTTATTTCATGAAGATTTACACACATACCACTTAATTCTTATGTCTTTACATATCTAACACCTAAATTTCAATTTTTACATACATACCGCCTTGCTTATGCATAAAAAGATAAATTTCATTTTTTAAAAGTCGAAATGATAGTATTTTTTCGTGTTATGAAAAATTTGGGTAGTATAAATATAGAAAGTACAGTTCAGGTGTTAGACGAGTAAATAGTAATAGATGACACAATATTTTAATATGATTTAAATATTATATATATTTAATTATCACCGTCGGAAATATAATATTTACAAATCAACCACTCTCTTTCATCTATTTATTAAATTCTCATTCAAATATTAAAATTTATTGTAAAATTTCAATTCATATTTGTCTGATTGTCGCTCTCATAAATTTAGTAGTTCTAAAATTATCTGCACAGAATCATTAATTTATAAATATCAATATTTTGAATGATCTGTACGTAATAACATGAGGTTTATAAATTGAGGGATGAAGAAAGAGAGGAGAGAGAGAGAGAGAAGGGGGATAAAAAAGAACCATCCACCTTACACTCTTCCAATCGATAGGGCTTCATGATGCCGTTCAAAGAATTAGGTTTTCCCATTAGATTTTCATCCCGTCGGGATTTGAAAACCCTAACCTTTCACTGCCCTCAGATCTGTTCCCGCCGGAGCTTCTCGAGGCATCGCATCACATTCGCTGGCGACGGTGGTGGTTTTCAGGTCCAAGTTGCGCGTTCATCCCCCGTCTCGCTCGCTCTCTCTCTCTCTCTCTCTCTCTCTCTCTCTCTTCTTGGAATGGCGCCTGATCATGCTAAATTTCTTTTCCGATCCCAAACATTAACATTGTAATCCTCTTTCTCATTTTCGTTTAATTAAACCCTTCACCTATTCTCTTTCTGCGCGCGCGGTTAAGTGAACCGAAGATGACCGGGCCGAGGCCGGATATCCACGAGCTCTTCTGCCATTACAATTCCCTCTACTTCAGCGAATCTCTCGGCACTTGCATAGTCTCATGGGCGCCGAACTTGACTCGGTTTGCACTCGCCTAACTTTTTTTTAGTTTGGTCTCTTTTATTGTCTTCATGGGTGTTAATGGGGTAAAATTCAAGGTTTTTTTCGGTTTTTTGTTTTAAAGGAAAGGCGAAATTGATATATAAGATTTTTATCGTATCTTTTTCCAAGTTCTAGTGCTTTAACATTGGGATTATGGAACTGGAACTGGTTAGTCAAATTTATGTTTGTAGGAGAATTTCATTTTTGGGACTTGCTAGGAAGCAGAAGGTTCATGTAATTATTCTTTAGCGTGAGGTTTTATGAAAAAAAAAATGTACTTTTTTGACTTTTTTTTTTTCTTTTGATGTTTTTTATGTTGCAGTGCTTTGTTTGGATGTGTATAGCATTTGCAAAACGGAATAGAACGTATTGTAAGCGGAGGAGTTGATTGTGTGAGAATTTTGTAAGGCCATCTTTTATGAAACAATGAGATTTAGCGAAAGCTAAACTATATTGATGGTATTGCTTATCCTTTATAGAATCTGCCACCATGCGTGCACCCTAGTTAGGGTTTTCTTGCTTGAACTCAGGCTTATCTTTTTTTAAATATGAATATGTATGGCATTTGTATAAACGAGTGGAACTTTATGTGTTTTGTTAACAAACTGGAGGAAAGTTAGGCAACACTCTACACTTCTAGTGTGGAGGTAGATGCTCATGCATATTGCATTTTAATGTTCTTATTATCAGAAACAAGGTTTAGGGATTTAACTTGGGTTTGGATATAGAGGAATTTAACTTTTATATTCTCTTTAGAAATTTAACTAAAAAGTTGTGTTCGGGAGTGTTGAGCTACTGTTATATAGTTCTCTATGATAAAGAGCTCACAAAACTAGCCAAAGTTGAAAAGAAAATATCCTTCTTATCATAGTCACAAGAACTTTGTGGTCTCCAACAGTTCTCACTTAACTTTGTTATATTCAATTTGGTATTTGGTTTTAATTTTAATAGGTATATTGGATATCAAATAGCATTGCTCAACTATTTCACCCTTTAATGTGGACTTCATAATTTGGTTTAAATGGTTTTTTGTATATGCAAGCCCTATAGATTATCTATCAATCTCAATCATAGGAGAGGATTTCTTTGTTAGTAAGCTTTATTTTTAGTAGAGAAGATATACAATTATTTATTTATCTTGAATTGTGGGGGAATTAATAATAAGATTTCATGATTTCATTATTCAAGATTGTCATAGAACTTGGTTAACTTATTTAGCAGATGTAGTCTACCTAATTTGACTGAATGATCTTTATCAACAATCGGGAATTGCATCTTTTTAGGGAACCTTGTCAAATTAGGAGGGAAACTTGTCAAAGAGATCAATCATAAGTTGATTTTGGCTAGCAAAAGGTTTTGTGCTATGTCAGGGTGCTTATGGCTTACAATTCATAGATTTAGTCACTAAAAAAATCCAAGTTTTGATCATGATTTTAATATAATTGTGTCAGCAAATTTAGGCTTTCCAATTGATTTGAGGACATATGCCATATTCTTATTGGCATGAAACTTTGGTGTGCTTATATGATTACACTTTATGTGAAATTAACTTTTATTTGTTTTGGTCAAATTCACCTTTTTATCATTGGCAATTTGGCATAATGATATTTGTTTTAGGCATTAAAAAATGATTAGTTATTTCTTGAGAGTTTTGTATTTTTGTATTTATCTTTCATATTCTTGTTGGGAAAGTTAGATTTAATTGAGGGTTCTTCTGGTTAAGACTTTGCTTTAATAATGCTCATCATAGGAAAATAGCCATAAGATATGTTTTTTTTGAGATTAAAAGCATTTTCTTATGGTATGCTTCTCTTAAATTTAGGCATTTTCTTTACTGACCATATCTTGGAGGATATGCTACAGAATTTTGATTGATTCTTATGGAGAACATGAAATTATTGAACAACTCTCCAATTATTATCTACAATGGTTTTGGCCATTAGAGGGCATTGGGCATGTTATTTTTAATTAATGCATATATCTTAGTTGTTTGAACTTGTCAATATGTCCTGCTTATTTGCAGAGTTTGGTTTTTGAAATTATGTGTAGCATTTGAATTCACTTAGTGTCTATTTGTTTTGATGTATTGAGAGTGTAGAGTAAAAGAAATGTAGAGGTTTTGAGTTTATTGGTGTTTGATTGGGAGTAAAACAAATGCAAAGAATTTTTTGAGGAATTTAGAATATTTCAAATAGCACATTCTTGATGATTTTAGGATTCGCCAAATTTGGTCAATTTAGAATATGCATTTCTCGTTCTTGCATCACTTGTCATGCTATCCCAATTAGCAGTATAATTACGTCTGCCATTGTGATCCTATTTGCTAATTTGACTTAGCTGTTTTTGGTATTCAGGTAAGAGTCGCACTAGAAACGGTGTAGGTATAATTATAGATAAGAGTTTGAAAGATAATATTATAAAAGTTAATAGAATTAGAGATAAAATTATAGCACTAAAAATTGCCGTTGATAATAAATTTTTTAATGTTATAAGTGTTTATGCTACTCAAGTAGGTTTAGATGTATGTTTAAAAGAAAAATTTTGGAATGAATTAGAAAAATTAATACAAATAATACCTTTTGAAAGAAAATTTTTTATAAAATTTTTATTGGAGGAGATTTAAATGGAAATACTGGTAGAGTGGTAGGTGATTTTATAAATATTTGTGGTGGTTACAATTAGATTTTGCTCTAGCTTATAATTTTGTTATTGCTAATACTTTATTTATGAAAAGAGATGAACATATTATTACTTATAAAAGTCAATCTAATAAAAGAAAAATTGATCTTTTTTCTTTTGAAAAAAGTAATTTGTCGAGAATTTAAAGATTTTAAGGTCATTCCAAGTGGAAACTTAAGTACTCAACATTGATTATTAGTTCTAAATTTTAAAATATTATCTTAGAATTAGATTGGGACATCTAAAAAAATAAATAAAATTATTTTTATGAATAAATTTCAAGATTCCAAGATTTAGGTTGTTCATAAAGAATCTAATTCTATGTGAGATAAAGTCATAAACATTATTGAACAAATGATAAAAGAAGTATTTGTTGAATAAAAAAAAGAATTATAAATAAAAATTATTGGTGGTGAAATAATAACATACAAAAACTCATAAGGATTGTAAGCGAACTCAACTTGAGTACTTATATGGATTGTGACCGGTAAATTGGCTAATGGATTTTTTGTAGGTCAACTCAATTTAAGAAATAATTAGGACTCAGTTTGAGACAACTTTCTGCCTGCTTTGCTTTTCTGACCGCCACTATAATTTTGTTTGAAGAACTATTATTTTCTTATTTTTTAGAATTTTTTGCGTAGACAACTGTTGTTTTCAATCTGTGATGTTAAAGTGTGGTGGTTGCCCGAAAGCTGTGGTCTGACTTTTTGAAAATAAAATAAATTTATTATAGCCACTGTGGCTTTTTGAAGAATATTTTCTTCTGCATTAGTTTCACAACTGCTTTTTCAAACAGCTACAATTGTCCCAAATTGATCCTAAATCTCATTGTATGATATTTTTTTCCACAAAGTATATTGGGAGATTTCTCATAATATAATTCATAACATACGACTACTTATTTATTTGAGGGTGAGCTGTCAAAGTGAAGTGAAACTTTGTACTCAACTTATCCCATAAGATATTATATCAAGATTTGAAGTGATGGTCTTAGGCACATCATGGAGATGAGATATTTCTTTGAAGCAGAGATCAACAATGTGTGAAGTGTTCATCTTGTGATTACGAGGAAGATATGCCATATTGGAGAAATGGTCTACTACTACCATAATAGTCCTTCGTGATATTTGGGGCAGACCCTCAACGAGGTCTATGTTAATGCCAACCTAAGACAACTTTGAAGCAGAAGGGATGTATAGAGATTTGCAATCTATCCATGTAACTTAGCTAAATTACACATACTGCTGTTTCTGATATGTTGTTTTATGTCTCATACCAACTTGGGGCAAAAGAAATTCTTTCATTAAAGGAAGTCTTATACTTGCCAAAATTACTACCATCCATTTTTATGCCACTCCTGTTAAATATTATTCTCAAGTGAACCTGTAAGAATGCACTACCTATGTTGAAAGAATAAGTAGCCATCAAATATGTGGTACTTGTAGGAGTCTCTTGGCAATGAGCCCAATTTTTTTGAAAGTCATCATTAGTGGCATACAACTCCTTCAACACTTCAAAACCAACTGCATTCGATCACACATTAGTGATAATAAGGTTGACGATTCAGAGCATTAATTACTTTGTTGGCTCCTAGATTTATTTTTAAGCACACAATATATAAAAGATAGAAACTCTACTTACGAATCTTGTCTATCTTGCAACTTATTATGGCTATTCAAGTACCTTAAGGCTTCATGATCAACATTCATGTTAAACTCACTGTCCATCAAATATGGTTTCAATGGTTGAGGCCTCTCATCATTGCATAAAATTACTTAGCATATGTTGAATATTTTACCCTAAAACTACACTCGCTCAAATTCTCTCATTAAAGCATCATATTATACCTCAAACACTTGATTAAAATATGAGAGGGCTAAAAAAGGAGCTAGTGTAATTTGGTGCTTCAATATATCAAAATTAACACGCACCTTATCTGTCCATGACAATTTGTTTGCCTTGACTCCTGATAGTGGCGTCGCTATGAAACTAAAATTTCTGCTGAACATCATGTAAACTAAAGTCAATCCATGAAACTGGTGCACCTGAGTGAAAGACTGGGTTGCCCTGATTCACGATAGCCTCTAACTTGGTTGGGTCCATCTCAATGTTGGCTACTAAAATAATATATCTAAAGAAGCAATATGCAACGTTAGAACTTGACATTTCTTCGGATGATCATACAACTCTTCCGTCCTCTATAGTGCGGTTGCATGTGATATAAATGCTCCTCTACAGAATGGTACACTAAAATGTCATTGAAGTACACAATCATGAATTTCCCTATGAAGACTAAAAAATTTGGCTCAATAGCCACATAAATGCACTAAAGTTATTGTACAAGCAAAAAAATATGATTTTCTATTCATATAATTCATCCCATTATCTTGAAAGCGCTCCTCCTCTCGTCCCCAAGTCTTGTCTGAATTTGATGAGAAATAAGTATGTAAATTAATCTTCGTAAATTTGCTGACTTCATGCAATTGATTCAACAAGTCATTTAGTCCTTGAACGAGGAATCTGCGTTCGACGATATTGTTCACTGCCCTACTATCAATACATATATGCTGTGATCCTTTCTTTTTAGGCGCAATCAAATTGATACAACACATGAATTGGTACTCTCACAAACTAATCCCTAGGCTATATGATCTTTAATATTTCTCTGTAATTTATCGAAATCTGATAGTCATATCTTGTAGGTTGTTGGGTTAGGCAGCATCAAACATAGGATGTGATCCATAAAGTTTTGAATCTTTGTGGGGGTGGTAATCCGAGTGATAAACTGTTGGTCAAAACATCACGAAACTCTAATATTCTTTGCACTATCTCAGGATATTTACTCTTATCTTTCTTTTAGCATAACCAATGTCAGTTTTATTGGCATCTCTCGCATGACCTGTTGGAATATAATGTGAGGTACTACAACTCCAAACATTTTTTAACACTTATCATAGTGGACTCATTCAAAGGAAAAATTATAATACTTTAATGTATTTTTTTTATGAACGAATATGTGTTCTTATGCCCATTATGGAATATACCATTTCATACTACCAATAAATGTAACAAGTATCTATAAATAGAATGTCACATCACACCTGCTCCTAGCTTATCTCCAATAGAAAATTCTTATAGGTATTACTTGTCAATATTGATCTCCATCTCTTTTTTCAATGAAGTTAGGGAGTTCAATTGGTAATGCTTTTGGGCGGTGAGGCTTAGCTCTAGATAAGCACTACATTCTCACAACTACCTTCTTCAATAATAAGGCTGCACACTTTTTCTTCCATTACATTAAGTACAGAAGATGTGTCAAAGCTACTGCTGCTCCTTTTTAGCCTCGGTTTGGGGAACTTGCTGAATCACAAGTATCATTCCATCATTAGTGAAGAGCTGATTCACTTCCTCATTCATATAATCTCTCGAGTCTCCATTGCCCACATCATCCCTGAGTCCTGCTTAGTGAAAGAAGTTACTCTTATGTTTGAATGATTGGAGGCAATGTGTCCATAACTAGATTGTGGACAAACTGACCCAAAAACATTCCCAGCAACTCTCTTATATATGCTATTGCATCTATAGATCTGCTATATCCATGCAATGAGACTAGTAGTTATGAATATGTCAAATCCACTGAAAGCATTTTGAGAGGTAATGGAGTGGCTTTTGTACCACATGAAAGTTGCTGTTAAAATCTAACAATAGCTTAGCAAAGGTGACTGAAATTGTGGGATTTTCTGATGCTGATCTGGTTTGTGATTTGGATAACTGAAGAAATATAACATGATATATCTGTAAGTGGAGTTGCAATCAATTGGATACTACTGAAGTTGTCGTTCTCAGACATAGAAGCAAAACATGTTACTGTTAACGAGGATGATAAGGAAATGGTTTAGTTGAGCTACTTGTGAAAGTTAAGAAAAAAATAATCATGCATTTTTTTTTTTTGTGCTAGTAGGAATGATTTGTGCATCTTAAAAAAATATAGGATTTCATTCAAGGACAACAAATCCAACTTAAATATTATTTTTTTTGGTTTGTTCAATGATGTCTAATTGCTGAATAAAGTTAAAGGATCTAAGACCCTGATGTTATGCCATAAAAAAAGTATTGTGGAGAAATTGCGTTTTTGCTAAATGTCAATTAATTTCCATGAATGATTAAGGGATGTTGCTTAGTGTTTTACAATTTAGTACATAAAAAGCACTTACTCTCTAAGAGAGAGGGAATGGAGGGATGGAGAGAGGCTGTGTTGATGGGTTGCAAGAAACTTTTTACAGGTAATTATGGGTGAAATAAAGAAATTTAGTGAGGAGAAAGAAAAATGCTAAGAGAAAATGGAAATACATGGTGCAAGTCTGATAATAATGGACACAAGTGCGGTGGTATAGTAGACAAGCATAGTTGTGCGAGTATGTGTGACATTATCGAAGAAGTATTTGGTGTTGTCAGAAAATATATGTATGGTCTTTTGTTTCGTTGTTTAAGTTCTTTATTATCCTCTTGAATTATAGTGAAATATTGTCTCTATGTGAGCATACATTTTGGCGAGACAATTTGATGACTGAATCACTTATTTTAGCTGTGTTGATTTTTTCTAATTTTCATTTTGGCCTAAATTTTACTCTTTTTTTCTCTGACAAGAGTAGTATGGGAAAAAATTAGGTATTTAATTCATTGTTTTAATATTTGGAGAAGGAATATTGGTCATTTTTTATTTGCTTGAATCTGAAAAATATTAAATATATTTGTTTTCTTGTAGAAATCCCAATATTCATTAACCTTTTTGGCGAAAGGATGTTAAAATTTGTATTATGCAATAAATATCTAGTATATAATCAAAATAAACTATGGCTCTGAAATTTGTAAGGCTCAAAGCAAAGTTACTTTCATATATGTATATTTTTTTGTTGGTAGTGGCCTAGTGGAAAAATACTTTAAGAATGCAGGGATACAGAGAGTGATCCTTTAAAATAAATTACGGAAAAATACCTTTCTTGAATTCTTGATGATTTTATTTGTTTATTAAAATCTTTTATTACTGTTTACTTTGGAATGAGTGCTTCAAATCTGTTGTTATTTATGTGTCATTATATCTAAAAACCATCTTTTTATCTGCATTTACTGTTTTGCTATTTAATTTTTTTTATCAGATTTCCATGGACTTTACTTTTTTACTGCAGCATGGCATCTTTTTGTGATTTTATAGAAGAAGGCCTATGTGAGATCCAATTGTCAGAGCCTTTGTTGGAATCTCGCTCTTCTGCTGATATAAAAAATATTTTATTGCATGAAATGATTCATGCATTCTTATGGCTTATTCATAAAAACAATAATTACAGGTATCAGGGTCCTTTTTGTTGAAGTAAGATTCATGATCCTTGCACTTTTTTTTTTATTATTTTAACTCTAATCTGTTTGTGTAGTGATCATGGATCCCAATTTTGGAATTTGGCAAATTTAATCAACTCAAACTGTAAAAATGATAATCAGGTCCACTAAACTTTCAATAATATATTTGAATTCCAATGACGAATTGCTTTTTAATTTTTCTGTGATTTATCTTCAGAGACCCTCCAATGGCTATAATATCACTGCTCAGCATGGCTTACATAATGGAGAGAATATTGACATCGTTTACCAATGGAGGGTAATATATGTACATGCATACATACATACATACATACATACATATATACATACATACATACATACATACATATATACATACATACATACATACATACATATATACATACATACATACATACATACATATATACATACATACATACATACATACATATATACATACATACATACATACATACATAATGGAAAGAAAATGTGTTTAATGTTATTTTACCATCTATATTTGAGCTTGTTTTGCAGTGTACATCTTGTGGTGATTTAATCAAGAGAGGAATGAATAGAGAGCCTTCATCTATAGACTGCATTGAAAAGAATAGTGGTTACGACTGCGGCAATCTCTTATGCGGATGGCATAGGTAAGATCTTATAGAGTTATGCTTTAAAGGAGAATGGTTGAATTCTATTAAGTATAGAAGAGTTTTGTGATTGGTTGCATGCATATTCACGGAAAACACTCGAGAGTCCATGATTTGAACAGTCATTTTTTAGCAACCTACATGCTAACTCAAACAAAAGAGGGGCACTGCATACATACCACACAATTCTTATGTAGTTACATTTCTAACACCTGAATTTTCATAGTTACATACATAACACTCTAATCTTTACTAGCACATCAAAAATATCATTACGGCCAACCTTTTAAAAGGTAAGTACACCTTTTCATGCAAAGGTTCATGACAGCAAAGTGTTATAAATTTAAATATCAAACTTTAGGTGTTAGTCTATGTAAATACAAAGTCATTGTGTGGTATCTATGTAAATTTCCCAACCAACAAAAAAAAAATGATCAAGTGTCAAAGAAATGATAGATGCTAGTTGAATAGGTAATGAGTAATGCTATGTAAGACAAATTGGGACCAATTTTTGCGCAAATTTGGTTTTAAATCTAATTATCTTCCTTGTCTTCATAAATGGGTTACCAAAGCAAAACCGTTTCTTGGTGACAAAGGCTGCTGGAGGGGGTTACCACGCTGTTATCATACCTGTGATTTTTCCATGAATTTTCTGTTTGCTTGTTACATTTGCATATATTTTTTGTTGTTAGACGTCATATTCTGAAATTCTTAAAAATAATGATCTGCCTATCCTTGCAGGCACAATATGCAATGCTCTGGTAGATATGAAAAATTCGATGATGCCTCCAGATTTAGAAAGAAAGGCATGTCTATTGGTGAGATCTTTTGTTTATTTGAAGGAGCAATTTCTAGTGTAACACTCAAATCTTGCTCTTTGATGATGCCAAATTTTAGCAGTTTTATTTACAATGATTCCGTACAATTTTTGAAGAATACAAAAAAAAAAAAAACGACCCAGATATATATATATATATATATATATGATTTGATTGTGGCATGCTCAAATACATAGATTTCCCTGTTTCAATTTTTTTTTTGCTCGGTAATAGATATATAACAGAATAGATTTTGGTTGAAGAATATAAAAAAAATACAACCCATATATATATATATATATATATGATTTCCTTAACAGAATAGATATAGTTGTTTTCCTTAAATTTTTAATGATTTTATTGTGGCATGCACAAAAAATAGATTTCCTAGTTTCAATATATATATATATATATATATATATATATATATATATATATTTGTGTGTATGTGTGTGTTTTTTCTATGC